CTGTAGAGGTTGTAATGAGAAGCACATTCAAAGTAATAATTACATAAAAGGAAATAATATTGATTTCTATAAACTGCAGATTTTATCAAATGAAAACATTAACACTAACGAAAGTAACAGTGAAATACTTTACTATCAATTATTATTTACTAATGATTTAAGGGTAGTTAAGTATTGTGTTGTTAGAAATACAATTTATATTATGTTTAAGAATGTTGAAACAGCTGTTGAATTTTATTTGCAACACTTTAAAAAATTAAGTATGAAATTTAGTATTTTACATGAACTGGAAAAGGAAATGTTATTTTATAAAAATCTTAATAATTTTAAATATGATTTTCCTAAAAAGGAATTTAATTTTAAAACACCTAAATTAAACATAATTGATGTTAAATCTTTTAAAAATAATCATAAAAAATCAACAATGATTACTAATTGTAGTGGAAAGGCAGAGTTTAATTTGAGAGTAGATTATTTTAATAAGATGAGAAGTATGTTTCCTAAGAATGATGTTGTTAGAATGAAATCTATAATTGATAGCGGTATAAAAGACATTTTGTTTCTCAATACAAAAGAGTTGTCTGTGGGAACACACTCAAATATATTAATTCAAGAAGGTATAAAGTCTATGAGTGAGAATGAATTATATGAGATTATAAAGTCTTTAGGTATAGATATAGTACCAATTGCTGCAACAAAGTATGGTGCATATACTATACAGACATTACTTATGAATGTTAAAGGAAAAGAAAGTTTAGATTTACTTTGTGATAATTTTTCCCCTTTAGGACAGTACTTAATTACAGATGAAATAGGTAATTATACAATTCAAAGACTTTTACGACACAGAGAAGATATTGTTTATAATTTATTCGTACAAGATTTAGAAAGTATTATTAACAACCCTCTTGGATTTAAAGTGTTAAGTAGATGTTTAGAATTTTTTGTAAATAACAAAGAAAACTTCCTTAATAAAATTAAGAATATTAAAAACAATTCAAATAAAGAAAAATGTGAAAC